GTCAGGTTTGTAGGCCTCCTTGCTCGCACACACTTCAGTTCTGCCCACACATTTTCTATAGGATTGAAGTCAGGGCTTTGTGATGGCCACTCCAATACCTCGACTTTGTTGTCCTTAAGTGATAAAGAAATGTGTGAGTAAGATATGACTAAAATGTCACACCCTCAGTTAAACTAATAATGTATGACTATTAGAAGACTAGAGCTTAGAGTGTTAATCATATGTGTTCATATAAGATGCATATTTGCCCAGCAACAGAGTATTTGTGTCTTGTAATTAGGCAAGCAGAAGTGCAAACGTTGAAACCAATAACAGGAGACCGGTTTCAAAAACAGATGTCCCCACACAGGGAGGGGGAGTGAGAGGCTTGCAGAATATTGTGAGAACAGCGATAACTATGTATGGGAATAGAGAAAAAATGCAGCCTGCCTGAGCAAGGAGTAGGCTATGATAAGAACGTGTGTGTGTGTTTATGTGAGTATAAAAAGACTGTGTGCCCATTTTGGGGCAGAGCGCTCTCTGAATAAAAACTGATCATTGTATGCTGATTCATTGAACTGGAGCTTTACAACCTTCAGGACTCAGACAGAGATATAAAATAGTTCAGTTTGAAAATTGAGATAGAAATTCTCGTAACATTAAGCCATTTTGCCTTTTGAAGTATGCTTGGGGTAATTGTCCATTTGGAATACCCATTTGCGACCAAGCTTTAACTTCCTGACTGATGTCTTGAGATGTTGCTTCAATATATCCACATAATTTTCCTTCCTCAAGATGCCATCTATTTTGTGAAGTGCACCAGTCCCTCCTGCAGCAAAGCATCCCCACAGCATGATGCTGCCACCCTCATGCTTCACGGTTGGGATGGTGTTCTTCGGCTTGCAAGACACCCCATTTTTCCTCCAAACATAGCGATGGTCATTATGGCCAAACAGTTCTATTTTTGTTTCATCAGACCAGAGGACATTTCTCAAAAAAGTATGATCTTTGTCCCCATGTGCAGTTGCAAACCGTAGTCTGGCTTTTTTATGGTGGTTTTGGAGCAGTGGCTTCTTCCTTGCTGAGCGGCCTTTCAGATTATGTCGATATAGAGATGAACGTACTTCTTCCAGCATCTTCACAAGGTCCTTTGCTGTTGTTCTGGGATTGATTTGCACTTTTCGCACCAAAGTACGTTCATCTCTAGGAGACAGAACATGTCTCCTTCCTGAGCGGTATGACGGCTGCGTGGTCCCATGGCATTTATACTTGCATACTATTGTTTGTACAGATGAATGTGGTACCTTCAGGCGTTTTGGAAATTGCTCCCAAGGTTGAACCAGACTTGTGGAGGTCTACAATTTTTTTTCTGAGGTCTTGGCTGATCTCTTTAGACTTTCCTATGATGTCAAGCAAAGAGGCACTCAGTTTGAAGGTAGGCCTTGAAATACATTCACAGGTAAACCTCCAATTGACTCAAATGATGTCAATTAGCCTATCAGAAGCTTCTAAAGCTATGACATCATTTTCTGGAATTTTCCAAGCTGTTTAAAGGCACAGTCAACTTAGTGTACTTCTGACCCACTGGAATTGTGATACAGTGAATTATAAGTGAAATAAACAATTGTTGGAAAAATTACTTGCGTCATGCACAAAGTAGATGTCCTAACCGACTTGCCAAAACTATAGTTTGTTAACAAGACATTTGTGGAGTGGTTGAAAAACGAGTTTTAATGACTCCAACCTAAGTGTATGTAAACTTCCGACTTCAACTGTACATAGGGCAGCAGCTTCTAAGGTGAAGGGTTGAGTAACCAGGTGGTAGCCGGCTAGTGACAGTGATTAAGTTCAGGGCAGGGTACTGGGTGGAGGCCGTCTAGTGATGGCTATTTAACAGTCTGATGGCCTTGAGATAGAAGATGTTTTTCAGTCTCTCGGTCCCAGCTTTGATGCACCTCTACTGACCTCGCCTTCTGGATGATAGCGGGGTGAACAGGCCGTGGCTCGGGTGGTTGATATTCTTGATGATCTTTTTGGCCTTCCTGTGACATCGAGTTCTGTGGGTTTCCTGGAGGGCAGGCAATATGCCCCTGGTGATGCGTTGGACTGATCGCACCACCCTCTGGAGACCCTTGCGGTTGCGGGCGGCGCAGTTGCCATACCAGGCGGTGATAAAACCCAACAGGATGCTCTCAATGGTGCATCTGTAAAAGTTTGAGGGTCTTAGGGGCCAAGCCAAATTTCTTCAGCCTCCTGAGGTTGAAGAGGCGCTGTTGCACCTTCTCCACCTCACTGTCTGTGTGGGTGGACCACTTCAGATTGTCGGTGATGTGTACTCCGAGGAACTTGAAGCTTCTCACCTTCTCCAATGCGGCCCTGTCGTGCTCCCTCTGCTGAAGTCCACGATCAGTTTCTTCATTTTGTTGACATTAAGGAGAGGTTATTTTCCTGGCACTGCTCCGGCAGGGCACTCACCTCCTCCCTGTAGGCTGTCTCGTCATTGTTGGTAATCAGGCCTACTACTGATGTGTCGTCTGCAAACTTCATGATTAAGTTGTGTATGTCCCCTGTAGCTCAGTTGGTAGAGCATGGCGCTTGCAACGCCAGGGTTGTGGGTTCGTTTCCCACGGGGGGGCAGTATGAAAATCTATGCACTCACTAACTGTAAGTCGCTCTGGATAAGAGCGTCTGCAAAAAAAAGGACAAAAAAAAAAGTTGGAGTGCTACGCAGTCATGGGTGAACAGGGAGTACAGGAGTGGGCTGAGCACCTATCCTTGTGGGGCCGCTGTGTTGAGGATCAGCTTAGTGGAGGTGTTGTTTCCTACCTTCACCACCTGGGGATATCCCGTCAGGAAGTCCAGGACCCAGTTGCATAGGGCGGGGTTCAGACCCAGGGCCCCGAGCTTAATGATGAGCATGGAGGGTCAATTGGTGTTGAATGCTGAGCTATAGTCAATGAATAGCATTCTACATAGGTATTCCTCTTGTCCAGGTGGGATAGGGCAGTGTGCAGTGCAATGGCGGTTGCATCATCTGTGGATCTATTGGGGTGGTATGCAAATTGAAGTAGGTCTAGGGTGTCAGGGAAGGTAGAGGTGATATGATCCATAACTAGCCTCTCAAAGCACTTCATGATGTCAAGTGAGTGCCATGGTGCGATAGGAAACATGGTGAACATCTTGAAGCAAGTGGGGAAAGCAGACTGGGATAGGGAGAGATTGAATATATCCGTAAACGCTCCAGCCAACTGGTCTGCACATGCATTGAGGACGCGGCTAGGGATGCCATCTTGGCCGGCAGCCTTGTGAGGGTTAAATGTCTTACGTCTGCCACGGAGAACGAGAGCCCACAGTCCTCGTGAGTGGCCTGAGTCGGTGGCACTGTGTTATTCTCAAAACGGGTGAAGGTGTTTAGCTTGTCCGGGAGCAAGATGTCAGTGTCCGCGACGTGGCTGGTTTTCGCTTTGTAATCCGCGATTGTTTGGAGTCCCTGCCACATACATCTCGTGTCTGAGCCGTTGAATTGCGACTCCACTTTGTCTCTGTACTGACGTTTTCCCTGTTTGATTGCCTTACAGAGGGCATAACTGCACTGTTTGTATTTGACCATATTCCCAGTCACCTTGCCGTGGTTAAATGCGGTGGGTTGCCAAACGGAGGGCGGGGGAGGGCCTTGTAGCCATCCCGGATAGGAGAGTAACAATGGGAGAGAGTTTTTGATGGGCGAGTACTACAGGCAATGTGTTGATAGAACTTCAGTAGCGTTTTTCCTCAGATTTTCTTTAAATGCGGCCTCAGGATATATTCCAGTTTGCACAAAGTCCAGTGTAGTTCCTTGACGGCCATCGTGGTATCGGCTTGAGGGGGAATATACACAACTGTGACTATAATCGGAGAGAATTCTCCAGGGAGGTACTGCGGTCGGCATTTGATTGTGAGGTATTCTAGGTCGGGTGAACAAAAGGACTTGAGTTCCTGTACGTTATAACGATCACACCATGAGTAGTTAATCATGAAACATACACCTCCGCCTTTCTTCTTCCTGGAGTGTTCTTTATTCCTGCCTGCGTGATGTACTGAGAACCCAGCTGGCTGTATGGACGGGGACAGTGTATCCGGAGAGCGCCATGATTCCGTGAAACAGATTATGTTACAGTCCCTGATGTCTCTCTGGAAGGAGATCATCCCCCTGAGCTTGTCTACTTTATTGTCCAGGGACTGAACATTAGCGAGTATAATACTCTGAAGTAGTGGATGGTGTGCACGCCTCCTGAGTCGGACTAGAAGTCCACTCCGAATACCTCTTCTCCGCCGGCGGCATCTTGGACCAGCCTCTGGGATAAGTTCATTTGCCCTGGGGGGTACGAACAAAGGATCCAATTCGGGAAAGTTGTATTTCTGGTCGGAATGCTGGTGAGTTACCGCCGCTCTGATATCCAAAAGTTATTTCCGGCTGTATGTAATAACATAAAAAACTTTCTGGGCTAGTAATGTAAGAAAGAACACCAGAAAAAAAATATATACTGCAAAGTTGCTCAGGAGCTAGAAGCAGAGCTGCCATGTCTATTGGCGCCAAGTTCATGATGCCGTTGACCTAAACAAGGGCCCCAGGACCAGTGGAAGCAATAAAGCCCCATATAGCATTAAAGATTCACCACCTTATTTTTCAGTAGGTATGGGGTTATTTTCTGCTTATGCATTCTCAATACGATACCAAACCCACCACTGGTGTGCGGCCAAAGAGCTCTATTTTCATGTCAGTGGGGTTAATTGGCCACAAATCAGTCTCCAGACTTGAAAACCTGTGGCTTGAATTGAAAAGGGCAGTCCATAAGTGCAGATGAAGGATATCAAGGATCTGGAAGGAGTCTGTATGGAGGAATAGTATAAGATCCCTCCCAATGTGTTCTCCAACTCATAAAACGTTTTAGAATAAGGCTCAGTGCCATTATCCTCACAAGGTGAGGTGTGTATGTATGTGTGTGTAAGCGTTTATCAGCAAATGCTGTCATTTCAAGAAAGGATGTTTTATTATTATTTGAAGTTCATAACATTTGATCAATGTGTCTCATTTTACATGACATTTTTTAAAATCCACCATTCATATCAAGAACTTGAAATGAGCTCTCATTTGTATTGTCAATTTAGTGACTCACTCTCCTCTCCATATACCATTAGCTTCTGATAGCCTTCCTCCTCCATTTCCTCTTCCATTTCTTCTTCCTCCTCCATTTCTTCTGCTGCACTTTTCCTCTTTCCCTGTTCTCCTTCTCTCTCCGATCGAATGGATGGTATCCCCACACTCCTCCGTCTTGCAAGGGAGAGAGCTATGCCCTTCTCATAGTACGCACATTCGTTAATGAAGAATGGATAGAGTGGCTCAGTCCCTTTGTACTTTAGTGTCTCTCCGGAGAAAGTCTGGAACACAGGGTCATTGGGGTGGAGGAGGCAGAAGTCCCGATCCTGAGAGAGATGGGGGAGCGAGAGACAGAGGAGTTAAAGAGTGGAGGAGGGTTCCAAGTGTGGGTATACCAAATCCTGACCCAGAGATTGCTTTGCTGTTACTTAGAAGGGAACTATTGTGCATCCCATACTAAGTGAGTGTCCAGTTGTTAAAGTTTCAAGGGCATTGTATACCTGGAGTTGAGGATGAATGGCGGCTGTAATGCCGTGGGTCTCAAAGTCTCTTGGGTAGTCCAAATTTTTCACCATGGTGTACACATCCACTTTTCCTCCTTCAAACTGGGTCCCTGTGAAAGAGAGAGACAGGGAGAGGAGGAGAGAAAGAGGGGAAGATTAAGCTCTGTGGGAGGAATCTGAATGAGGGTTTACAATGCAAGCATGTGGGACAGTGAACTATTTCAATCTGAAAGCAGCGCTGAATTGAATGTTGGAAAGGATTCTGTAGGCCATGTACCTGAGTTAAAGAGGCGGACCCATTCTATCATGTGCTGGACCCCTTCTTGCATTGCGGATAAAATATTGGACCTGACTACTCCATGGGCCTGAGGACCAATCTCAATCGCTGCAGGGGAAAAAAGATACATTTACATGAATTGCATTTCATTGTGTGCATCTATAGCATGTATTGCAACATTTGTTTTACAATTCCTGCCTTAATCTTGCCAAAAGGACCACAATGGAAATACGTAATTGTGCTATCCTTGATTTTTTTTTTAATGTACAGTATGTACTGGCTGTATATGTATTTTTTACATTGTCAAAACAAACTCTATCAATCAATCAAGCACTGTTAAAAATGGCAAAGGTGGTTCCATTTTAAAAGTATGAACAAGAGATGTGCATCATCAGACTACTAAGCATAGCTGTTTAACTACCATGGCAAAATAAACTGGAAAATGTACTGGCAGTAAGGAAGCCCACCTCCCTACTAACTCACCAAAGCCATGTTTACCTACAGACTCGAGGGAATATGCTTCATTGAGGGGAAGGTCGAAGTGAATGAACCTCACAGGTATATCAGACATTTGTCTCTGGAAAACAAAATAAATGGTCAATCCCCCAGTGGTAACCTGACAGAAATTATCTCAAGATAACAACAATATGTGTGAGATCATAGGAATCTCAGATCTTATTTCCACTATGATTGTGTGTATCCTCAAAATATATCTGGTTCAAAGTTCTTCTTAGCACAATGTAGGCTATTATTCAAAGATCATTCCAAATTGTTGGAAACAGACTAGTTAAGGCCAACCTCATGTTCTACCCTTAGTGAGTTCCTAAATTAATTTAAAATCTAAAAAGTCATCCTATCCCTTGTTAACTTTCCTTCATCCATATTGATCTTTAAGAATATAACTATCCCATATTTTCAATCAGTGCAGATCTACTCTAATGAGAAAATGCATCCAAAATGATTTGAGTCTCTGTGAGGATCGTTTGCTCTTGCCTGCAGGTATCTGTAGATGTGGAGAGAGATCCAGTCGCAGTCCGAGTAGGCGATGAGGCACAGGCCCATGTTAGCGGTAGTGTTGTGGAGGTCACACACCAGGTCCATGGCCTCTGGACTGCCTTTAGGACCTAGCAGGGAGTTCAGCTCCTGGGACCGCACTATCTCATAGGGCGTTTTGTCTGTCACAGGCCCACTAAGAGGGCGAGAGAGAAGGATGAATGGATAGTCGTTACCATCAACACTAATACAACTTTTGTCGGCAACTTCATCATGCTCTTTATCCCGCTCATTCTCATCATCTCCTTCCTCACTTTCACCATTACCAACATAAGCCCCACAGACCATCATCATACCTTTTGACATAAATGTCGTCATGGTCGCCATCATCATTTCTCTTTTCTACTACATTCTCATAATCACTATCATCACCACCATCCCTTCTCCCTTGTACTTAATCATCATAATCATCAGACCTGAGGGTGGCGTGGGTGAAGCAGCGGTTCAGGTCTGTCTCTGTGTATCTCCGACACTGCTGGACGGCACGCGGGTTGGACATCACAGTCACCACGGAGATGTGGTCTTCCTCTTCCACCTTTCTCTTCCTCTTCAGCCGCTCTCTCACCAGGTACACTCCTGACAGCTCATTGCCATGGGTACCACCACACACTGCAATGCGGGACACAGTCGGCAATACCACCTCCCTTCCTTCCATCTATGGGATGGCAATCAGAGTTACATTATAACAAATGACTTAAAATTAAATTTTACACACGTAGAAATGTCACCTGTACCTCCATTCTGTTTCTTGATACAGTAGCTCACTAGCTTGGCGTTACAGTATGACTAGTTCAAATATACTTGGCTGCCTTGACGCATATTGTACCCACACCCCTTAGTGATTCCCAGCTCTCATCCGTTCTCTAATTGGAGGTATCAAAGACTTCCGCTTGCTGACACAGCGGGTAAACAATACCAGCAAACACCATTGCGGCAGAAATCATGGTGTCAAATTCTTACCTTGGCTTCCTTTCCTGGTCTGCAGCAAGGTGTACGGCCACCTCAAGCTCACTGTGAACGTTTAACCTTTGAACTTTCCCCTATAACAAAATCACCAAACACACCTTCACTGAATGTTTTGAAATTAACTGAATGTCTGGAAGGGCTGGACCTTGATTGAGATTTACAGATATTGAAACCTTAGATACGAGGTAAACCTGTGTTTAGATTCATCCTTCACAACGATAAATTGAACTACTCTTTTTTAAAAGGATATCACACTTCTTACCCTTGCGGCTATCTTTCCCTTCCCTCTCTCCTGCGGTTCACCCTCTCCCACCCTCTCCCTGGCTTTCATGCAGTTTCACTGATTCAGCATTCTCATCCCTCCCTCTCAATAGTAATGTAGTCTGTTCCGGCCTGTATGCTGTTGTGCAAACTCCCCCCACCCCCCACGTCACTCCTCTCCAGTGGACTGGCGGTACTGCACTGTGATGCAGACAGCAGCGTGTGTACTCAATGCAATGTGGAAACTCCACCCTTCCTTTCACACAGCCTCGGTCCCAACGGCTCTGTCCAGTCAGCCTGCTCCAAAGCCCCCCGCCAAGCAGGGTCTCTCACACACTCTGTCCAATGTATAGGATGGTAGGTTCCAGTCAGCCCTTTCAAATGTTGGCTCAATGCAAATCTGCTCCATTGGCATTGACAGAGGCCAGAATTACATACTGTATAGTACACGTCGGGAGAGATTGCTAGCCTCGTCATAAACTAAATGTTGTCATTTAAATACAAAGACATAGGTGAGAGCCTGTAAAAAAAGAATTCATAGAGAACATTCATACAAAGTTAACTTATCTTTGCAAAGGCTACACACCTCTAAATAAATGGTGTCTTAATCAAGTGTTTTAAAAGGTCCTGAAGAGTGGTCTTGAATAAAAAATAATAAACATAAAAATCAAGTTCATTACTATAATCATGTTCAATAAAAATGTAATAGAAACAAATACCTTTTTTTGCAAACCACCAGACCACGGAGGGGGGATAACCGATTCTCAGGGCAGTTGTAATGGGAGAGATTTGTAAGATAGCGAGAGGAATACAACACAAACTATCATTAGTGTATGAGCAGAGATGACAGACATAACACATCCTAACATCCAACCCATTTGAACAGTGCCAACATTTGATGTCTTCCTCATAATAACCACACATGGTTTTACTGCAAGTAGCACAACACCCATCAATTGAAATGCTGCATCAATTGAAATGCCGGGAAACAAACAAAAGGGCGGGGCTACACCCTGAGAGGGATTGAGACTGAGGAACCAGGCATTTTAAGATGAAGCTTGATCCAAATGACAAGAAAATATATCCAGATGCACACAAACGACTTCATGTAACTTTTTTTTATTTAATTGTCAAAATCTTAAGTAATCAATGTCGCACAGCTTGTACTAAACAAGACAGATATACTATTTTCTATTGAATTGATTTGGCAATCAACTTTCAGTTTTTGTTATCCAATTAATAACAGTGAAGAATATTGCAAATAGAACAAAATAAATGAGGGACAAAAGTATGAAAAACACATTACAGCAACCTGTTTGACATACTGGTAGTAATTGATTTAGACAGATTGTTCTGTATTTTATCTTAAAAACGTGTCATATGTCCTTTCACACACATGATGATTACTGTTTTGAAAGGGATCTCCCTTTTATGAAAATGAAGACATTCCACTTCAGTTAATACAGAAGGAAAAAAATAACACCAAACCCAAATAAAACAACCATAACATTATCATAATTACTATATAGTAATCCATTTTCTATACATATATAAAATCAGTTATTTGCAATGGTTTTAAAGTCTTCATTTATTCTTCATTTTAAGTACACTTAAACAAAATTGTTATGAAACAAAGTAAATCCCATATTTTTTGGTGTCAAAACACTTGCATATGTACTCTTCAGAACAGAAATGTATACAGTTGAGCGACAGTTCTTCACCACAGAATTGATTTCCCCTCGATTACCTCTTTGATGTCAGACTTGCTTAAACCGCATTCTCTTCACTACACAAATACACACAAAGCATTTACCAGATAACTATTTTTAACAACTTCGAATACCATGTGTAGCTCATGGCTACTATTCTTTTCCATCAAATACACACTGTGGGTAGAAAGCACTGTTCCTAAACTGCGAAAATGCTTTTAAGTAATGCTACTCATTTTTACTAGGTTAAATGAAACTTCAATTGAAACTTTTCTTGATGACAGGACACTAAGAGAGCCAGCCAAGAACCAGACAAGAGGTCTACTTCTAACAACTTCAACCCAAGAGCACCCCTATAAAAATACAAGTTAATTTCACCATCTCATAATTTCCATGACACTAGACTATGAGAAAAACAAGGCCCTGGTAAGAAAGCCGATACAGTACATTAACTACTTTTTGAGAGAAGGGACATACAGTATTCTGGGCACCCACTTCTTGATTTGTGTTGATACTGCATGATGGCAGTAATGCACAACGATGAGTTTCATAAAGCTTCCGATGGATGAACAAATGCAATCATACATGCATTTGTTAAATACCCTAATCAACAGAAAAGAAAAAGGAGAAACCTTCTCCAACTTCTTGAAGGCCACCAATCACTGTTTTAATGACTAACTATATTAACCGAGTTTCATTCCATTTAATAAAAAAACGTTTACCCCCAACCACAAGGCTCTTGATGAACAGAGGAACATTAGTGTATAGCTTCACAGAAAGCGCTATCGGCACAACATGGTAGGGAGAGGTGTCACTGTCAATCTAACCTCATCTGTTCTGGGCCCACACCACTAATGCCAAAGCCAGAGAGGAGAGAGTTTACTTTTATTCAAAACTTATGCCCAGTTCCATTTCAGTTTCTAGTCTATTTTCCTCACACCCTACGACTTTTTGCAAATGTGAAGGGATTGGATAGGAGTACACAGTATGATGAAGGCTCCACCTAGCCCTCTTATAGAAGGAGTGAGGTTTCCGCCATATTGCCTTCACCTAGGATTTCCCTTCAGATCTGTGAACACTGAGGGGGTAGAGGCTGAGGAAAGAGGGGCTGGGGACTAAAATGGAACCAAGTCTTAGGAATACCCTGTTCACCTATTGGATCAGACTGCAGCCTCTAGATCTCTTAGAACAGAGAGCCAGTGGAGTGAAACATCCAGTCAAGGGGAGGAGGGTAGCTGTTCATTGGTAGGGTCCAATGAAGTAGGTTTCATCCGGGGGAACTTTCTAGTTAAAGACAGCCATTATGAGGTCAGTATATTTCGGGACAGGACTCCCAGCTGCCTTTCTCCTTGGCCTCCCAGTAGCCTCCCTTATAAATGTGAGTGAATTCACCTGTGGCGGGGTCCTCGCAGCGTTTAAACCACTGCGCCGTGTAGTTATCTTGGTGAGTGCCTGATGGAAAAATGAATGAGGTATTTAGTGTATTGGACCTGTGAAAAAGAGAAACTAATTTGAAAAGTGACTGCTCAGTTAAACTGCTTCCAAGAAACTGGTTTAATTGAAAACGATGTTGAAAGTGTGAGAGATAAAAAAATATAGAAAAGCACAGAAAACAGGCAAAAGAGGGATACTTGCTTTTCAGAGAAGGGTCAGTAAAAGAGTCCTCATTGACAGCTTGTGGGAGAAGAAAAAGGGTCACAAAAGTGGCCTTCAGTTTCAAGTCTTACAGTACAACACTCATTCCTATGGAGATGGATGGAAAATTAAGGGACTCAAGGAAAATAAAAGCTTTCTCTCGCTTACCTTCCTCTGACTCGCTGGCGGTACGCTGGTTGGCGGCCTTCCCGTTCCCTCTCACGGCGGACAATGCGCTGCTTCTCCTCCAGCTTCTGTTTCTCGGCGTTGGCCTCGTCCCACTGGCCCTCCTCCATCAGCCTCTGGTCGGGTCGTCGACGGCTGTCCGTGGGCGCCACGCCTTCCTCAGGCTCGTTCAGCGTCAGTGCCAGGTCGGTGAAGAAGTACATCGTCTCTGCTCCCTCGCTTAAATTCAAACATTAAATGCAAATGTAACCCCCTGTAAAGACTGGGTTTAGTTTTTTATGTGTGGCAATGCTAATGTCTGCGTTCTAGAACTGTCCACGTACAGTGTGGTCTGAGGTGATCTTGGGGAACAACGACAGAGTTCGCTAAGAGTGTTGGGACACCGAAGTTTATTGTTCAATTTGCTTTTTGTTTAATAGTCAGTATGAGTGTAGTCAGCTCCTTTTCACCCGCTATTCTCTTTTAATTTTGTGATTCACTGGATTCGTCATCATCCTTGATGGACAGACATACGAACCGCTGGCTAGCCAAGCCAGTTGGTTCAGGTAGCTAAGCTAGCTAGCTAGCTACTCTACCAGAAGCATCCTACCACTACATCATCACCGGCAGCCTCCAGTTGTTCTACAAGTAACCTCTCGGCACTGATGGAGCTCTCCGGTTGTTTCTTCCACCTGTTAAATCCCGTGGAATCCTTGGCCCTCTCGTTGACGGATGCTAGCTTCCCACGCTCCCTCTGTCCGGTTTTCCTCTCTTCACTAGACAGACGGTAATGTTCGTGTTTTAACCCCTCTTTGTCCAAATACAAGGACCTGACTTTTTTAGGTATATATACACACACATACAGTGGGGAAAACAAGTATTTGATACACTGCCGATTTTGCAGGTTTTCCTACTTACAAAGCATGTAGAGGTCTGTAATTTTAATCATAGGTACACTTCAACTGTGAGAGACGGAATCTAAAACAAAAATCCAGAAAATCACATTGTATGATTTTTAAGTAATTAATTTGCATTTTATTGCATGACATAAGTATTTGATCACCTATCAACCAGTAAGAATTCCGGCTCTCACAGACCTGTTAGTTTTTCTTTAAGAAGCCCTCCTGTTCTCCACTCATTACCTGTATTAACTGCACCTGTTTGAACTCGTTACCTGTATAAAAGACACATCCACACACTCAATCAAACAGACTCCAATCTCTCCACAATGGCCAAGACCAGAGAGCTGTGTAAGGACATCAGGGATAAAATTGTAGACCTGCACAAGGCTGGGATAGGCTACAGGACAATAGGCAAGCAGCTTGGTGAGAAGGCAACAACTGATGGTGCAATTATTAGAAAATGGAAGAAGTTCAAGATGACAGTCAATCACACTCGGTCTGGGGCTCCATGCAAGATCTCACCTCGTGGGGCATCAATGATCATGAGGAAGGTGAGGGATCAGCCCAGAACTACACAGCAGGACCTGGTCAATGACCTGAAGAGAGCTGGGACCACAGTCTCAAAGAAAACCATTAGTAACACACTACGCCGTCATGGATTAAAAATCCTGCAGCGCACGTAAGGTCCCCCTGCTCAAGCCAGCGCATGTCCAGGCCCGTCTGAAGTTTGCCAATGACCATCTGGATGATCCAGATGAGGAATGGGAGAAGGTCATGTGGTCTGATGAGACAAAAATAGAGCTTTTTGGTCTAAACTCCACTCGCCGCGTTTGGAGGAAGAAGAAGGATGAGTACAACCCCAAGAACACCATCCCAACTGTGAAGAATGGAGGTGGAAACATCATTCTTTGGGGATGCTTTTCTGCTAAGGGGACAGGACGACTGCACCGTATTGAGGGGAGGATTGATGGGCCCATGTATCGCGAGATCTTGGCCAACAACCTCCTTCCCTCAGTAAAAGCATTGAAGATGGGTCGTGGCTGGGTCTTCCAGCATGACAACGACCCGAAACACACAGCCAGGGCAACTAAGGAGTGGCTCCGTAAGAAGCATCTCAAGGTCCTGGAGTGGCCTAGCCAGTCTCTAGACCTGAACCCAATAGAACATCTTTGGAGGGAGCTGAAAGTCCGTATTGCCCAGCGACAGCCCCGAAACCTGAAGGATCTGGAGAAGGTCTGTATGGAGGAGTGGGCCAAAATCCCTGCAGCAGTGTGTGCAAACCTGGTCAAGACCTACAGGAAACATATGATCTCTGTAATTGCAAACAAAGGTTTCTGTACCAAATATTAAGTTCTGCTTTTCTGATGTATCAAATACTTATGTCATGCAATAAAATGCAAATTAATGACTTAAAAATCATACAATGTGATTTTCTGGATTTTTGTTTTAGATTCCGTCTCTCACAGTTGAAGTGTACCTATGATAGAAATTACAGACCTCTACATGCTTTGTAAGTAGGAAAACCTGCAAAATCGGCAGTGTATCAAATACTTGTTCTCCCCACTGTATATATAGTAACAGTCAAAAGTTTGGACACACCTACTCGTTCAAGGGCTTTTCTATATTTTTACATTGTAGAATAATAGTGAAGACATCAAAACTTTGAAATAACACATATGGAATCATGTAGTAACCAAAAAAGTCTTAAACAAATGAAAATATATTTTATATTTGAGATTCTTCAAATAGCCACCCTTTGCCTTGATGACAGCTTTGCACACTCTTGGCATTCTCTCAACCAGGTTCATGAGGTAGTCACCTGGAATGCATTTCAATTAACAGGTGTGCCTTGTTAAAAGTTAATTTGTGGAATGTATTTCCTTCTTAATGCGTTTCAGCCAATCAGTTGTGTTGTGACAAGGTAGGGGGGTATACAGAAGATAGCCCTACTTGGTAAAAGACCAAGTCCATATTATGGCAAGAACAGCTCAAATAAGCAAAGAGAAACGACAGTCCATCATTACTTTAAGACATGAAGGTAAGTCAATCTGGAACATTTCAAGAACTTTGAACGTTTCTTCAAGTGCACTCGCAAAAACCATCAAGCGCTATGATGAAACTGGCTTTCATGAGGACCGCCACAGGAAAGGAAGACCCAGAGTTACCTCTGCTACAGAGGATAAGTTCATTAGAGTTGACTGCACCTCAGATTGCCCAAATAAATGCTTCACAATTTTCAAGTAACAGACACATCTCAACATCAACTGTTAAGAGGGGACTGTGTGAATCAGGCCTTCATTGTTGAATTGCTGCAAAGAAACCACTACTAAAGGACACCAATAAGAAGAAGAGACCTGCTTGGGCCAAGAAACACGAGTAATAGACATTAGACTGGTGGAAATGTGTCGAAATATGAGATTTTTTGTTCAAACCGCTGTGTCTTTTTGAGACGCGGTGTGGGTGAACGGATGATCTCCACATGTGTAGTTCCCACCGTAAAGCATGGAGGAGGAGGTGTTATGGTGCTTTGCTGGTGACACTGTCTGTGATTTATTTAGAATTCAAGGCACACTTAACCAGCATGGCTACCACAGCATTCTGCAGCGATACGTCATCCCATCTGGTTTGGCCTTAGTGGGACTATCATTTGTTTTTCAACAGGTCAATGACCCAACACACCTCCAGGCTGTGTAAGAGCTATTTTACCAAGAAGGAGAGTGATGGAGTGCTGCATCAGATGACCTGGCCTCCACAATACCCAGACCTCAACCCAATTGAGATGGTTTGGGGTGAGTCGGACGGCAGAGTGAAGGAAAAGCAGCCAACAAGTGCTCAGCATATGTGGGAACTCCTTCAAGACTGTTGGAAAAGCATTCCAGGTGAAGCTGGTTGAGAGAATGCCAAGAGTCTGCAAAGCTGTCATTAAGGCAAAGAGTGGCTATTTGAAGAATCTCAAATATAAAATATATTTTCATTTGTTTAAAACTTTTTTGGTTACTACATGATTCCATGTGTTATTTCGTAGTTTTGATGTCTTCACTATTATTCTACAATGTAAAAAATAGTAAAAATAAAGAAAAACCCTTGAACGAGTAGATGTCCAAACTTTTGACTGGTAGTGTAATATATATATATATATACACACACACACACAGCTCAAAAAAATTAAGGGAACACTTAAACAACACATCCTAGATCTGAATGAATGAAATCATCTTATTAAATACTTTTTTCTTTACATAGTTGAATGTGTTGACAACAAAATCACACAAAAATGATCAATGGAAATCAAATGTATCAACCCATGGAGGTCTGGATTTGGAGTCACCCTCAAATTAAAGTGGAAAACCACACTACAGGCTGAACCAACTTGATGTATGTCCTTAAAACAAGTCAAAATTAGGCTCAGTAGTGTGTGTGGGCCTCCACGTGCCTGTATGACCTCCCTACAACGCCTGGGCATGCTCCTGATGAGGTGGCGGATGGTCTACCTGAGGGATCTCTCCCCAGACCTGGACCAAAGTCATCCGTCCAACTCCTGGACAGTTCTGTGGTGCAACGTGTGGCTTTGGTGGGATGGAGTGAGAAATTGGATGTCCCCAGTATTGTGGCTCGAATTGGATTCCGGTCTGGGAACGTGGCGGGCCCGTCCATTTTAGCATCAATGCCTCTCTTGCAGGAAAGCACTCACCACATAGTCAATCTCAATACAAATTTAGGTCCATGCGCGAACTGCGACATACAGTGAATGCTCCAGCAACAGGCATGATTTAACAAAAAAGTAAGAATAAAACAACAACAAAAAAGTGTTGAGAAAAAAAGAGCAGAAGTAAAAAATAAAGTGACAGTAGGGAGGCTATATATACAATAGAATAAAGTGACAGTAGGGAGGCTATATATACAGGGGGGTACCGTTGCATAGTCAATGTGCGGGGGCACCGGCTAGTTGAGGTAGTTGAGGTAATATGTACATGTGGGTAGAGTTAAAGTGACTATGCATAAATACTTAACAGAGTAGCAGCAGCGTAAAAAGGATGGGGTGGGGGGGGCAGTGCAAATAGTCCGGGTAGCCATGATTAGCTGTTCAGGAGTCTTATGGCTTGGGGGTAGAAGCTGTTGAGAAGTCTTTTGGACCTAGACTTGGCACTCCGGTACCGCTTGCCGTGCGGTAGCAGAGAGAACAGTCTATGACTAGGGTGACTGGAGTCTTTGACAATTTTGAGGGCCTTCCTCTGACACCGCCTGGTATAGAGGTCCTGGATGGCAGGGAGCTTTGCCCCAGTGATGTACTGGGCCGTACGCACTACCCTCTGTAGTGCCTTGCGGTCAGAGGCCAAGCAGTTGCCATACCAGGCGGTGATGCAACCAGTCAGGATGCTCTCGATGGTGCAGCTGTAGAATTTTTTGAGGATCTGAGGACCCATGCCAAATCTTTTTAGTCTCCTGAGGGGGAATAGGCTTTGTCGTGCCCTCTTCACGACTGTCTTGGTGTGTTTGGACCATGATAGTTCGTTGGTGATGTGGACACCAAGGAACTTGAAGCTCTCAACCTGTTCCACTACAGCCCCGTCGATGAGAATGGGGGCGTGCTCAGTCCTCTTTTTTTTCCTGTAGTCCACAATCATCTCCTTTGTCTTGGTCACGTTGAGGGAGAGGTTGTTGTCCTGGCACCACACGGCCAGATCTCTGACCTCCTCCCTATAGGCTGTCTCATCGTTGTCGGTGATCAGGCCTACCACTGTTGTGTCGTCGGCAAACTTAATGATGGTGTTGGAGTCGTGCCTGGCCATGCAGTCATGGGTGAACAGAGAGTACAGGAGGGGACTGAGCACGCACCCCTGAGGGGCCCCCGTGTTGAGGATCAGTGTGGCAGATGTGTTGTTACCTACCCTTACCACCTGGGGGCGGCCCGTCAGGAAGTCCAGGATCCAGTTGCAGAGGGAGGTGTTTATTCCCAGGATCCTTAGCTTAGTGATGAGCTTTGAGGGCACTATGGTGTTGAATGCTGAGCTGTAGTCAATGAATAGCATTCTCACGTAGGTGTTCCTCTTGTCCAGGTGGGAAAGGGCAGTGTGGAGTGCGATAGAGATTGCATCATCTGTGGATCTGTTGGGGCGGTATGCAAATTGGAGTGGGTCTAGGGTTTCTGGGATTATGCTGTTGATGTGAGCCATGACCAGTCTTTCAAAGCACTTCATGGCTACAGACGTCAGTGCCACGGGTCGGTAGTCATTTAGGCAGGTTATCTTAGCGTTCTTGGGCACGGGGACTATGGTGGTCTGCTGAAACATGTTGGTATTACAGACTCAGTCAGGGACATGTTGAAAATGTCAGTGAAGACACTTGCCAGTTGGTCAGCACATGCTCGGAGTACACGTCCTGGTAATCCGTCTGGCCCTGCGGCCTTGTGAATGTTGACCTGCTTAAAAGTCTTACTCACATCGGCTACGGAGAGCGTGATCACATAGTCGTCCGGAACAGCTGGTGCTCTCATGCATGCTTCAGTGTTGCTTGCCTCGAAGCGAGCATAGAAGTGGTTTAGCTCGTCTGTAGGCTTGTGTCACTGGGCAGCTCGCGGCTGTGCTTCCCTTTGTAGTCTGTAGTCTAGCATTGTCTTGCATTAGGAGGAACCCAGGGCCAACCGCACAAGCATATGGTCTCACAAGGGGTCTGAGGATCTCATCTCGGTACCTAATGGCAGTCAGGCTACCTCTGGCGAGCACATGGAGGGCTGTGCCGCCCCCCAAAGAAATGCCACCCCACACCATGACTGACCCACCGCCAAACCGGTCATGCTGGAGGATGTTGCAGACTCCAGACTCTCCAGAGTCACGTCTGTCACGTGCTCAGTGTGAACCTGCTTTCATCTGTGAAGAGCACAGGGCGCCAGTGGCGAATTTGCCAATCTTGGTGTTCTCTGGCAAATGCCAAACGTCCTGCACGGTGTTGGGCTGTAAGCACAACCCCCACCTGTGGACATCGGGCCCTCATACCACCCTCATGGAGTCTGTTTCTGACTGTTTGAGCAGACACATGCACATTTGTGGCCTGCTGGAGGTCATTTTGCCGGGCTCTGGCAGTGCTCCTCCTGCTCCTCCTTGCACAAAGGCAGAGGTAGCAGTCCTGCTGCTGGGTTGTTGCCCTCCTACGGCCTCCTCCACGTCTCCTGATGTACTGGCCTGTCTCCTGGTAGCGCATCCATGCTCTGGACACTACGCTGACAGACACAGCAAACCTTCTTGCCACAGCTCGCATTGATGTGCCATCCTGGATGAGCTGCACTACCTGAGCCACTTGCGTGGGTTGTAGACTCCGTCTCATGCTACCACTAGAGTGAAAGCACCGCCAGCATTCAAAAGTGACCAAAACATCAGCCAGGAAGCATAGGAACTGAGAAGTGGTCTGTGGTCACCACCTGCAGAACCAGTGCTTTATTGGGGGTGTATTGCTAATTGCCTATAATTTCCACCTGTTGTCTATTCTATTTGCACAACAGCATGTGACATTTATTGTCAATCAGTGTAGCTTCCTAAGTGGACAGTTTGATTTCACAGAAGTGTGATTGACTTGGAGTTACATTGTGTTGTTTAAGTGTTCCCTTAATTTTTTTGAGCAGTGTATATTTGGACAGTGAAGCTAACATTTTAAATGTGTCTTTATACTCCAGCATTTTGGATTAGAGACCAAATGTTTCATATGAGGCGACAGTACAGAATGTCACCTTTTATTTGAGAGTATTTCCATACATATCTGTTTTACCGTTTAGAAATGAAAGCACTTTATGGATCTAGTCCCCCATGAGAAGAAGTCATAAGTATTTGGACAAATTCACTTATAGTGTAGTCAAAAGTTTAATATTTGGTCCCATATTCCTAGCACACAATGACTACATCAAGCTTGTGACTCATTGGATGCATCTACAGTTTGTTTTGGGTTATGTTATGCAGTGCCATTGGACTACAATACAGTAAGTTATTAGCTGTACAGAAAAAGAGCGGGAGAGACAGACAGTAGTGCCATACCTCAATAGTCTCTTACTGGTGAAATTAGTGTGGAGACGTTTTCAACATTCCATTTATAGCTATATATCAGTACTGTACTGTGCTTTAGCTGTATTGTGCTGTAGCGTATGGTGGCTGGCAGGAAAAGAGGACACACAAAAATAGTCTGACACTTACGGCAGAGGGTTTTTCCTCCACAGTTCCTTGGCCTTGAGCGTCTGGTAGACAGTCTTCTGTTTGCCCTCGGTGCCGTTCTCTCCCTTGCTGCTCTGCATGACCCTGGAGAACTCCATCTTCTCATCCCAGGTCCCTGACAGCACATAATGGGCCTTCCCATCCTTATCCATCACCACACCCGTCACCTGGACGGAGAGACAGAAGGAGAGAGAGGGCGAGAGAGATAAAGAAAAGGCAATGGAACCAGAAATACAGGTGGAAAGACGGAAAGGTACAGTTTAAAGTGAAGTTTACGAAGGTTATCAAGGGAAAACCTATTTATGTCTTGTTTTTAGTCTGTCACCTAAATGTCAACTGTGTACACCTACCTTCCTGGCCACATCTCTAGAGAAGTAGCTGTAAGGAGCAAACTTCAAATGGCAGCGATCTCCCGTCTCGTGGTTTACCACATCAATATCTCCTGACTAGAATTGAAGAGAGAAAATTTTGAATAAACCAATACTCACTGGCAAATAATCATAAAAAAATAGGTTGTGTATTTTTGTTTCTCCAAGTTGATCTCACCTGGTCGATCCACAGTTTTCCCACTATGATGTTGTGCACGGTGGTGGTGACCTTCTTCCATGTGTAGTGGTTGTTGCTCTTCTCAAAGATGGCATGGATCGTCCCTACGGGAGAGGGTCAACATAAAAGAAACGGTTGTGCTGAAATCAAAGGCATTATGTAGTCGTGGTCAAAAGTTTTGAGAATGACACAAATATTGGTCTTCACAAAGTTCGCTGCTTCAGTGTTATGAGATATTTAATTACAAGCATTCCATAAGTGTCAAAGGCTTTTATTGACTATTACATTAAGTTTATGCAAAGAGTCAATATTTGCAGTGTTGACCCTTCTTTTTCAAGACCTCTGCAATCCGCCCTGGCATGCTGTCAATTAACTTCTGGGCCACATCCTGACTGATGGCAGCCCATTCTTGCATAATCAATGCTTGGAGTTTGTCAGAATTTGTGGGTTTTGTTTGTCCACCCACCTCTTGAGGATCGACCACAAGTTCTCAATGATATTAAGGTCTGGGGACTTTCCTGGCCATGGACCCAAAATGTCAATGTTTTGTTCCCCAAGCCACTTAGTTATCACTTTTGCCTTACTGCAAGGTGCTCCATCATGCTGGAAAAGGCTAACTGTTCTTGGATGGTTGGGAGAAGTTGCTCTCGGAGGATATGTTGGTACCATTCTTTATTCATGGCTGTGTTCTTAGGCAAAATTGTGAGTGAGCCCACTCCCTTGGCTGAGAAGCAACCCCACACATGAATGGTCTCAGGATGCTTTACTGTTGGCATGACACAGGACTGATGGTAGCTCTCACCTTGTCTTCTCCGGACAAGGTGTTTTCCGGATGCCCCAAACAATCGGAAAGGGGATTCATCAGAGAAAATGACTTTACCCCAGTCCTCAGCAGTCCAATTCCTTTACCTTTTGCAGAATATCAGTCTATCCCTGATGTTTTGCCTGGAGAGAAGTGGCTTCTTTGCTGCCCTTCTTGACACCAGGCCATCCTCCAAAAGTCTTCGCCTCAGTGTGCGTGCAGATGCACTCACACCTGCCTGCTGCCATTCCTGAGCAAGCTCTGCACTGGTGGTGCTCCGATCCCGCAGCTGAATCAACTTTAGGAGACGGTCCTGGCACTTGCTGGACTTTCTTGGGCGCCCTGATGCCTTCTTCACAACAATTGAACCTCTCTCCTTGAAGTTCTTGATGATCCGATAAATGGTTGATTTAGGTGCAATCTTACTAGCAGCAATATCCTTGCCTGTGAAGCCCTTTTTGTGCAAAGCAATGATGGCACGTGTTTCCTTGCAGGTAACCATGGTTAACAGAGGAAGAACAATGATTTCAAGCACCACCCTCATTTTAAAACTTCCAGTCTGTTATTCCAACTCAATCAGCATGAGAGAGTGATCTCCAGCCTTGTTCTCGTCAACATTCACACCTGTGTTAACGAGAGAATCACTGACATGATGGCAGCTGGTCCTTTTGTGGCAGGGCTGAAATTCAGTGTAAATGTTTTTGGGGGATTAAGTTCATTTTCATGGCAAAGAGGGACTTTGCAATTAATTGCAATTCACCTGATCACTCTTCATGACATTCTGGAGTATATGCAAATTGCCATCATCAAAACTGAGGCAGCAGACTTTCTGAAAATTAGTATGTGTCATTCTCAAAACCTTTGACAACGACAGAATTAAGCGTCTCAGAGAAGGAGTGCCAATTTATACGGAACAAAAATATAAAACGCAACATGTAAGGTGTTGGTCCCATGTTTCATGAGCTGAAATAAAAGATCCCAGACATTTTCCATATGCACAAAAAGCTTATCGATCTCAAATGTTGTGCACAAATTTGTTTACATCCCTGTTACACCCCTTTGCCAAGATAATAATAATCCACCTGACAGGTGTGGCATATCAAGAAGCTGATTAAACAGCATGATCATTACACAGGTGCACCTTGTGCTGGGGACAATAAAAGCCCACTCTAAAATATGCAGTTTTGTCACACAACACGATGCCACAGATTTCTCAAGTTTTGAAACATGCAGGAATGTCCATTAGAGCTGTTGCCAGAGAATTGAATGTTAATTTCTCAACCATCAGCCGCTTCAAATGTAGTTTTAGAGAATTTGGCAGTATGTCCAACCGGCCTCACAACTGCAGACCACGTGTAACCACGCAAGTCCAGGACCTCCACATCCGGCTTCTTCACCTGTGGGATCGTCTGAGACCAGCCACCAGGAAAGCTGATGAAACTGTGGGTTTGCACAACCGAATAATTTCTGCACCAACTGTCAGAAACAGTCTCATGGAAGCTAATTTGTGTTCTCGTCATCCTCACCAGGGTCTTGACCGGACTATAGTTTGGTGTCGTAACCGACTTCAGTGGGCAAATGCTCACCTTCGATGGCCAACGGCAGGCTGGAGAAGTGTGCTCTTCACAAATGCATCCCGGTTTCAACTGTCCCGGGCAGATGGCAGATGGTGTTGTGTGGTCGAGCGGTTTGCTGATGTAAATGTTGTGAATAGAGTGCCCCATGGTGGTGGTGGGGTTATTGTATGGGCAGGCATAAGCTACGGACAACGAACACAATTGCATGTTATCGATGGCAATTTGAATGCACAGAGATACCGTGACGAGATCCTGAGGCCCATTGTTGTGCCATTCATCCGCTGCCATCACCTCATGTTTCAGCATAATAATGCACAGCCCCATGTCACAAGGATCTATACACAATTCCTGAAAGCTAAAAATGTCCCAGTTCTTCCATGGCATGCATACTCACCAAACATGTCAACCATTGAGCATGTTTGGGATGCTCTGGATTGACATTTACAACAGCCAGTTCCAGTTCCCGCCAATATCCAGCAACTTCGCAGAGCCATTGAAGAGTGGGACAACATTCCACAGGCCGCAATCAACATTCTGATCAACTCTATGCGAAGGAGATGTGTCACGCTGCATGAGGCAAATGGTGGTCACACCAGATACTGATCCACGCCCTTACTTTTTTTTTTTTTTTTTAAGGTATCTGTTACCAACAGATGCATATCTGTATTCCCAGTCATGAGAAATCCATAGCTTTTGCTTAATCCATTTATTTCAATTGGCTGATTTCCTTATATGAACTGTAACTCAGTAAAATCTTTGAAATTGTTGCATGTTGCGTTCATATTTTTGTTCAGTGTAGTATCAATTTGCCTTTTAGATCATCATGAATAAGATTACATGGACAGGGGGTACCTGATCTTAGATCAGCACTCTGAGACGCTTGATACATACGGCCACAGAACTCAATCCATTCAGAGATCCATTAACAATTTACTCAATGAGATACTCTTATACCTGCTGAAATGACCGATAGGTTTTATGGCTGGGAATTGCTAGAGACCTCACGATATGATATGCATTGCGATTCTCACGGTTCTATATGGATTGCGATTCCATACTCCGATTTGTTGGTCCAAACATATTGCTCACTATATGTCTGCTGCAGAGGGACAAGAGAGAGGATGAGAAAACGAGTTTTGATCAGTCAGTGCTGAAAATATGTTCTCACTATTTAAAAAGAAGATGGAGAACAAGCTATAGGTTGAAAAAGACCAGAATTTAGGCACAGAAACAGCTGACTAGCACTGTACCTTTACAGTAGCACAAAATAAATGTTGACTTAAAAACATTTTTTTTCCTATTCTATACTTTGACTCAAATATCGATACAAAAATAATATTGCGATATGTAACTGTATCAATTCTTCCCCCCATCACTAATAGGTATAAACCCCACCCTCTCTCACCTAAAGGCATTGAGTACAATTTTTTTTTTTTTTATCCTTTATTTTAAACAGGGAAGACATTGAGATCTAGGTCTCTTTTACAAATGTGCCCTGTATACACACACACACACACACACACACACACACACACACACACACACACACACACACACACACAACATAAATATACACATTATAGACACACATTAAAATACAAAAACACAGTCATGGGAAGCACAAATAAAACATCACAAATCACCAAGAAAAACAATTACATTCCTCCACAAATAAGTACCCAATTAGGCTGAACTGGGTGCACCGGGCTATGGCCCGTGACGTGACTGGGAAAAACTGGTGAGGGAGGAGCGCCCTTCTCAAATTGTTCAGAAACTAGTTTTCATTGGGAAGGCAGATATGTTTTTTTTTTTATGAAGAGCAAAAACTCTGAATCCTAAGCCATTACTCCACGTGCTTGACATGTTGCTTTGAGCCGACTTCGCCATTAGCTTTGAACCAGGTGGAAATGTAATCACTTTCCACCTGGTGCAAACTCCTCCTCCTACTTTTTTTCCTTCTAAAAAAAAAAAAGAATACTCACACAAGTGATCCATTACTAAAGCCTGTTCAGATATTTGAATATTCGAATAACCGTGCCCATCCGTAGTTGACAGGTAAAGACCCCACCCTCTCTCACCTAAAGGCATGATTGACAGGTATAAACCCCACCCTCTCTCACCTAAAGGTTTGATTAGGGTTGGAAAATGTCAGTAACTTTCTCAATCTCCTTGTTTTCCAAAAATCCCAGTTGAAAGATTTCCAAAACCAAGAGGCAATAAACAGGAAATCTGGAATATTCCAACCAGGATTTCTGGAAAACCTGGGAATTTTTAAACGTTACAAGAATTTTCCAACCCTGGGCGTGATTGGTTTAAACCCCACTCTCACCTAAAGGCATGATTGTCTGATATAAACCCCACTATATCTTACCTAAAGGCATGATTGACAGGTATTTGCCCCTGAACTTGCTGGATACAGCGATTTCCTGCCTCAGGATCCAGCCTCGATCAGAGAACACATGATGCGCAGCTGCTGGGGGATGGTGACTCACCTGAACAGAGAAACAACAACATACAAAAACAATATCAAATCCAGCAGCTTGGAGAGATGTCAATCTCATCTCAGACAAATTACTGTCTGAGTAGAACTCGGCTAGCTTGATGCCATAGCCTGGCAATGGCTTTATGATCATTTTTGCCATCACAGGACTAGGTTATTTCATAGATGGTACTGGATTACCACATCATTTTTTTCTTCTCTATCCGGGTTCAGGAAAGACCGATCATGTAGGCCGGTGGTTCCCAACTGTTTTCACTCAGGTCCCCCTTCCATCATTGGGTAACATCCCAAGCCATGACAACACTTAATGCCAAGCGGGCCAACTATCCAGGAGCGTCATGGTCAAGACAGGGGTCAAACAGGGCTGCCTATTGTCACCATTCCTATTTTTCCTAGTAATAGACTGGGTCATGCAAGAAACAAGAGGGAGAAAGGAATTTAATCCAGTGGAGAATATGGATGACCTAAACAGATGACATTGCCCTCCTGTCACATACCCAGACAGTGTCACACCATCAGCAATCAAACTAGGACTAACACCCAACACAACAAAAACCCCAAGTGATTAAGATCCACTGCAAGTAGAACAACCCGATCCTGATGCACTGCACTACCCTAGAGAAAGTGCAGTCATTCACGTACCTAGGAAGAGTGGTGGACACTGCTGGAGGCACAGATGCTGACAAATGGAGCAGAATAAACAAAGCCAGGGTGACAAAAATATCTGGGGCTCAAAAAACAACGGATCAGAAACATGGACTGACAGTCAAAAACCTGGAACGGGGTGGGGGAAACTGGACAGGAACCTATTGAATTACACATTTTTTTAAAGAGTTGAAAACCAGCCAACAACAGCACTCTATGGCAGTGGTTTTCAACTGGTGGACCTTTCAATAAATTCCCTGGTTTTCCAAAACCCTGGTTGAAGGATTCCGGATTTCCTTCTTATTCCATTCTGATCCCAGGAATTCTCCAACCGGGATTTCGGGAAAACTCTGGACTTTATTGTAAGTTCCTGGAATTTTGCAAGCCTTGAGGTACTCAGGTGTGCAGCAAAATCTTTCTTAATCTTATTTTTTTTTTTTTACACAATTATAAAAAGTGACCTGTGGAATGCACATGGAATTTGGACTTGGGAGCACCAGCGCTGCTCAGATAATACATTGAATTGCACATGGTTACATCTGTATCGTTGTTTTAAGTCCAGTGCGTTCAGGCTGTTGCATCATTCATTGGTATCATTTGACTTTGCCTGTGAGAACCATTAACACAGGCAAGTCTGATAAGGCTTAACTGTACCACAGCCTCTGCCATAGAAGAAAAAGCATGGCTTTGTGCCCGTGGTTGCACCTTTACAATGCAGAACACCGCTCCCTTATTCATATCATAACGAACTTTAACCAGTTGAATGTAGACACAAATATAACACTTTTTTTTGCTCAACAACTTCTGAAATATTGTATTAAAATATGCAAATGAGGCGATGGTTTACTTTCAAGCCAGTTCTTGATTATGGTGACACCATTTACCAGATTGCTGCAGCCACTACTCTTAAACCATTGGATGCGGTCTACCATAGCGCCATTCGTTATCACCGGTGACAGTTTTAATACTCACCAATGCATCAAAAAGGTTGGCTGGTCCTCATTAAAGTCCTGTAGATCAATTCATTACTCCCTTTTTGTTTACAAAGCCCTAGTACACAAGCTTCCAACTTAACTAACTCATAAAATAATGAGATACCAAACCTGTTCACAGGGTTGGTTAACTCCTCAGATTCCTCGGGTCTCCACAGAATTAGGTATTTCCGCTTTTAGTTCACGCTCCACATTTTTGGAATCAATTACAAAATTCATTACATTTGGATTCCCTTCTGCCACTAGGGCATTTTAAAACCCTGATGATAAATGATTTCACAGAGGTGTGCAATTGTTTTGATTGATTGATTTAATAACTTCTTTATGATGGCTGTGACAGTGATGTTCTAATGTAATGTACTTGTTATTGTATCTTGTAATATATAAACTTATATTTTACTTTATGGTGTCAGGGCACCATTGAAAATGAGACCCTGGTCTCAATTGGGCTCCACTGATTAAATAAAAGTTAATGAAAATATATACATTTACATCAAGTATGACATTTTATGTCTAATAACTAATATTAAGGGACCAAAATACCAACAAATCTCAAAATTGATAAGTATATGAAAAAATGTCATTTCAGCCTCGCCTTAATCCATAAATAACTTTGACAGAAAATAGATGATTTGCAGTATGGAGATGAGATGGTCATTATCACTAAATACAATTATAGGGAAATGTTAGGTGTGCTGCAGATTTTTTTTATCCCATCAAGGTTTGCCACGGTTCCAAAAAGGTTGAAAACCACTGCTCTATGGCCCTTTAAAAAAAAAAAATAGTGTGTGCTATAAGCTTGGAAAATAAACAAAATGACTGACAACAGAAGGATGCTTATTTGCAACATTAGGACCATTTTCATGAGAATAGTAATAGATGATAACTCTTCTTGTCCTCCATCTTCCCCTCTGATAGGCCAGCTGAAGTGTAGCCATGATATTGCTTATACCTATTGAGTCTCCACTGGTGCTTAGGGCGTAGGTAAGGGCTGGGGGTTAGGGATGTGAGGATCAGTTTAACTCAAATTTTCACCCCCTAGGTATCCATCTTTCTCATCTCACTTCACCCTACTCCATTTCACTCCTCCCATCACTCCACCTTGCCCTCCCTCTCACCTGTTCACACAGTGACCTGTAGCCGCTCTCTCTCCGGCGGTCCAGCTCATAGGTCTCCCCCAGTAGGGGGTTGAAGGGTTTGCCGGTGCGGTGGACTGTAGTAGAGTAGGAGGAAACAGAGAATGCTGCCACGTAGCACAGCTGCTCCAGAGAGCTCTGGCATTTAGCTGCCTTGTCCAGGAGCTCATAGTATTCTAAGTCCTCAGAGAGACGCTGGAGCATTGAGATGGGCTCATTGAAGTTCACCTGAGGATAGAAAGGGGGTAATATAAATCATAAGTTACATTGTCTGAGACTAGGGCTGTTACGGTGACCGTATTACCGCCACAATGGCGGTCACGAGTCATGACCACAGTCAAATTCCACCTGACCGTTTAGTCACGGTAACTAGGCTTCTCCAAAACTGCGCTCTGATGCAGCTGATGGTCATTAATAGCCTACTAAACTTGAGGCGGATCCCATCAGATTTCTACAGGCTAGGCCTACTAAATAGATTTCTCAACTTTCCTAATATTAAGCACATTGCTTCGCTTTACAACAGGAGTATAGCCTACTTGGCTGGCATGAAAATTAACCGCGGAAAAAGCATCCTCCATTCGCTATTTAAGTGCATAGACGATATGTATTTTTTCCCCCCTGCCCCTGTTCCGACATGTGCATGATAATGGTCCACTCTAAATCAAAACTAATTCCACACATATACTGAGTCTTGAGACCCGTCACATCACATGCACAGAAAACGCTGGGTAGTTCAGTGGCTCCAATTGGTTTTCACTGTCTCCAATAAATATGACTTCTCTGTGTTTGCCGCATGCTATATGTACGGACCATAAAAAATAGATATGCAATGGACATCCCCAATTGAAAGTACTACAGTTGGTCTAACACACCTAGAGATGCTGTGCTCATTTAGAATACCTCTTACAAAATCTATAAATGCTGATGTCAGGTTGTTGCTAGCATTCTGTAGTCTGGAGGCCACACGATAGATGAGAAACAAAGTGAGTTGTACTTACAGGCATGGGGATCTTAGACAGCTCCTTTCCAATGCAGTTCTTCATAATGCTCCACAGGTTGAGCGAATAGTTGGGCTTGTCTGGGATCTGGGTGCGCCTCTTTCTCACTGGCTCCAACTCCTGGAACTGAGGAGACTCTGGATTGATTGTTAGCTGCTGCTCGTCAAGCTGTAAATAACCAATTAATGGTGGGAGACCGGGAAATGGACAATGAATCAAAACAATGTGTGTATAAGTAAAACTAGACTACCAGATATTGACTCAACAGAATTCAGATAGGGAATGGAGAGAGACGTACCGACTGATCATCAGGACAGAATTCACTGTTGAAGCCGCTGACATTACTGCTTGACCTTCTGATAGAGACAGAGAAAACAGAGATCCCATTAAAAACAGGGGATGTTGAATAAGTGCTCAAGAAAAAATAACTACATTATTATATATTATAAAACTGGTTGTTTGGATCCTGAATGCTGATTGGACAAGCAGCGTTCCAAGCCTTGCTGTATTGGCCGTCACAGGCACACTATGCCTGCTAACAGTTCCATCAGAAAATTATCACTGCGCCTCAGAAGAATATCATGTTCATGTTGCTGTCCGAATCATCGCTTCTATTGATCGCAACTCACACATTATTTCCCCTTGCTTTCAGCCTACCATTTAAATTGGTACAGCGTGGGTTAATATAAGTCTCGCTGTCTGCCTGTCCGACCTCGGAAACAATGTTTCACTTTTGAATTTCGAAATCGCCAGGTGAAATCAAGCATCAACTTCATAATTATGGACATATCCAACTAAATGCCAATAGAAAAAAAGCTCAAACAAATGAAAATGCAGCTGGTGGTGGTTGCCATGGCACTGTAAAGCAGCCTAAACAAAGAGCTCTGTCAATGCTGCACATATTTTAATGTTTTAAGTGTTTTTGTTTGTTTCTTAAAATCACCTTTTTAGTTTTTGATAAGTCATTAAGTTGTTGATTGGAAATAGCATGTTGACTTGACTCCTAAGCAACTTTGCAGTATTCTTTTAATTTTTGTGTGTTATTTCTCACATTATTAGCGCAGAACCGTTTTTTTTGCATTATGACATAAAGCCAGAAATCACTTTTGGATATCAGAGCGCAGGTAACGCACAAGCATTTAGACTTCCCTGAATTGGATCCCCCAAGGCGATTGAACTTATCCCAGAGGCTGCTCCAAGACGCTACCGGCGGAGTAGAGGTAGACTTTTAGACCAACTCAGGAGGCATGCACACCATTAACCGCTTCCGAGTATATTACTCGTTAATGTTCAGTCCCTGGAAAATAAAGTAGACGAGCGCAGGGCGAGGATCTCCTTCCAGAGAGACATCAGGGACTGTAATACTCCTTCCATACAGCCAGCTGGTTCTCAGTACATCGCACAGATAGGAATAAAGAACTCTCCGGGAAGAAGAAAGGTGGAGGTGTATGTTTCATTATTAAATACTCATGGTGTGATTGTCCCTGTCCCCAAGAAAGCCAAGGTAACTGAACTAAATGACTATCACCCCATAGCACACACTTCTGTCATCATGAAGTGCGTTGAGAGGCTAGTTAAGGATCATATCACCTCTACCTTACCTGACACCCTAGACCCACTTCAATTTGCATACCGCCCCAATAGATCCAGACGATGTAGTCATGGATTTCCTGACGGGATGTCTCCAGGTGGTGAAGGTAGGCAACACCTCCACTACGCTGATCCTCAACACAGGGGCCCCACAAGGATGCGTGCTCAGCCCCCTCCTGTAATCCCTGTTCACCCATGACTGTGTGGCCACGCACGCCTCCAACTCAAATCATCAAGTTTGCAGACGGTAGGCTTGATTACCAACAACGACGAGGCATCCTACAGGGAGGAGGTGAGGGCCCTGGCGGATTGGTGCTAGGGAAATAACCTCAACGTCAACAAATCGAAACAGCTGATCGTGGACTTCAAGAGACAGCAGAGGGAGCACGTCCCCATCTACATCGACGGGGCCGCAGTGGAGAAGGTGAAAAGCTTCAAGTTCGTCGGCGTACACATCAATGACAATCTGAAACAGTCCAACCCACACAGACAGTGTGGTGAAGAAGGTGCAACAGCGCCTCTTCAACCTCAGGAGGCTGAATAAATTTGGCTTGGCCCCTAAGATCCTCACAAACCTTTACAGATGCACCATTGAGAGCATCCTGTCGGCCTGTATCACCGCCTGGTATGGCAACTGCACTGTCCGCAACCGCAAGGCTCTCCAGAGGGTGGTGCGGTCTGCCCAATGCATCACTGAGGGCACACTGCCTGTCTTCCAGGACATCTACAGCACCCGGCCAAGAAGATCATCAAGGACCTCAGCCACCCGAGCCACAGCCTGTTGACCCCGCTATCATCCAGAAGGCGAGGTCTGTACAGGTGCATCAAAGCTGGGACCGAGAGAAAAAACTGCTTCTATCTCAAGGCCATCAGACTGTTAAATAGCCATCACTAGCCGGCCTCCACCCAGTACCATGCCCTGAACTTAGTCACTGTCACTAGCCAGCTACCAACCGGTTACTCACCCTACACCTTAAGAGGCTGCTGCCGTATTTATACTGAACAAAAATATTTTCTCAACATGTAAAGTGTTGGTCCGATGTTTCCTGAGCTGAAATAAAAGATCCCAGAAATGTTCCATATGAACAAAAAGCTTATTTCTCTACAATTCTGTGCACAAATTTGTTTATGTCCCTGTTCGTGATCATTTCTCCTTCGCCAAGATAATCCATCTACCTGACAGGTGTGGCATATAAAGAAGCTGATTAAACAGCTTTATTATTACAAAGCACCTTGAGCTGGGGCAATAAAAGGCCACTCTAAAATGTGCCGTTTTGTTACACAACACAATGCCACAGCGTGCATGGCGTCGTGTGGGCGAGCGGTTTGCTGATGCCAATGTTTTGAACAGAGTGCCCCATGGTGAGGTTATGGTATGGGCAGGCATAAGCTACGGACAGTGAACACAATTGCATTTTATCGATGGCAATTTGAATGTACAGAGACACCGTGACAAGATCCTGAGGCCCATTGTCGTGCCATTCATCCGGCGCCATCGCCTCATGTTTCAGCATGATAATGCACGGCCCCATGTTGCAAGGACCTGTACACAATTCCTGGAAGCAGAAAATGTATCAGTTCTGTCACCCTTTGAGCATGTTTGGAATGCTCTGGATCGACGTTTACGACAGCGTGTTCCAGTTCCCGCCAATTTCCAGCAACTTCGCACAACAATTGAAGAGGAGTGGGACAACATTCCACAATCAATAGACTGATCAATTTTATGCAAAGGAGATGTGTTGCGCTGAATGAGGCAAATGGAGGTCTGTGACCAACAGATATATCTGTATTCCCAGTCATGTAAAATCTACAGATTGGGGCGTAATGAATTTATTTCAATTGACTGACTTACTTATCTGAACTGTAACTCAGTAAATTTTTTGAAATTGTTGCATTTATATTTTTGTTCAGTGTACATAGCCATGGAACACTGGTCACTTTAATAATGGAACACTGGTCACCTTTAATAATGTTTACATTCTGTTTTACCCATTTCATATGAGTATATACTGTATTCTAGTCAAGGCCATCCTATTCAACTATTGCTGTACAAATACTATTCTATCCTACGTATTCTTCAGATATATATATATATGTATATATTCTATCCACATACTGTCTATACATCCCATCACATACATACATTTACACTCCGACATTGCTCGTCCTAATACTTCTATATTTCTTAATTCCATTATTTTACTTTTAGATTAGTGTATTGTTGTGTATTGTTAGATATTACTGCACTGTTGGAGCTAGGAACACAAGCATTTCTCTACATCCGCAATAACATCACTCTCCCGAGTGGCGCAGTGGTCTAAGGCACTGCATCGCAGTGCTAGCTGTGCCACTAGAGATCCTGGTTCGAATCCAGGCTCTGTCGTAGCCGGCCGTGACCGGGAGACCCCAGCGTTGTCCAGGGTAGGGGAGGGAATGGCCGGCAGGGATGTAGCTCAGTTGGTAGAGCATGGCGTTTGCAACGCCAGGGTTGTGGGTTCGATTCCCACGGGGGGCCAGTATGAAAAATATAATGTATGCACTCACTAACTGTAAGTCGTTCTGGATAAGACCGTCTGCTAAATGACTAAAATGTAAATGTAAATATCTGTATGCGACCAATCAAATTGTATTTTATTTGTCTGATTTGGCTAGCTAGCTGGCTAAAGTTTGCATGGCATCACCATCGTAAAACCATCACTTAACTCACTAGGAGCCTGAGAAGGCTGATCTACTGAGGGAGTCATACTCTATGGCTATAACAATGTCGTCCTATCCATTTTTTGGTTATGTGTTACCAAAGTATGCCTATTAGGCTAGGTCTACTGTGTAGCGTAGGCCTACTATGTTGCTTGTAAACATTTATTTAAGACCACAATGGAAATACATTTTCAAACTTTTTGTGTCATCCTCTATGATTTTAAATTCATTATCCACGTGTGGTTGTATTGTGTTTTACATTGTCAAATAAATAAATCTATCTAGCTATAGCTAGTGTCCTGTCATTCCAGGTTCAATGCTTGATGTGACTGAGTTAGCTGAAGTTGGCTGGCTAGTTAGCTAGCAAGCGACAACGTTAACCAGCCTACATAGCAACCATTTTGTTTAGAACGGACGATCAGTCCTTTCGCATAGCAACTATGCAAAAAGAATTAACGACTGTAGCAACATGACCAAAAGAACAACCAGATTTTTGTCCGGACTATATCTTCTGGTGAATGCAATTCATTGTTATTTTAATATGTTGGTAACAGTTCTATAAAAGCATGAAGGCAGGCGAGACAGTGCTGTATCATGAATACAGTCAAAAGGTAAATGGGTTGACTGGCCCTCCGCTATTGCGTCGGGTCAAACGCCGCCATTTACCTGTGACTGTATTCCTGATACAGCACTGCCTCGCGTGCCTTGCTTAAGTGTTGTTGTATTTGTCGTGTTGTTGTCATTGTATTTGTTTATAAAAAATAAAAATAAAAAGAATATTTCACCATGACATTGATGTGATATACTGTGGTTATTTGACTATAATGTTAACCATTCAATACACAAGGTCTGATTGAAAAATAAGCTGATCAAAAGCAGAGGTGCACTTAACACAAATGCCTCGTAGCTAAGTTAGTCATATTGTTCATTGCTCTCCGTTACTCTTTTTTTTGTATTGGCATTAGCAAAATTTACATGATCCCAATTTTAGCTCCAAGATGCCGGGAATTGGAAAAATAAAACAATTAGAATGTGCTAATTTATTGGTGCATTGAACAATGTAGTAAAAGCTCTCAATAGTGCTAAAACAATGACTTCATATCTGAATTTGAATGGCGCCGGAGAAGATGGCTGCCGTTTTACAGCCCTCTAACCAATTGTACTATTATGTGTGTTTTTCCGTGTTATCTGTAATTTATTTTGTACATAATGTTTCCGCCATCGTCTCTTATAACCAAAAAGAGCTTCTGGATATCAGGACAGCGATTACTCACCTCGTATTGGACAAATAATTGTTCTTCAACGAGGCGGCCGCGAAGGATATCCTACAGACACCCGACAAGGCCCAAATCCCCGTCATTCGCATGAGGAAGAGACAGAGATATCGTGGACGTAGGTCGGGGTGCCTTGTAAGGATCCGACGGCGAGCGAGTAAACTGCCGCTCCCATCAATCCTATTAGCCAATCTTCAATCATTGGAAAATAAATTGGATGACCTAAGATTACGTTTATCCTACCAACGGGACATTAAAAACTGTAATATCTTATGTTTCACGAGTCGTGGCTGAACGACGACATGGATAACATACAGCTAGCGGGCTATACGCTACATCGGCAGGATAGAACGGCTGACTCCGGTAAGACAAGGGGTGGCGGTCTGTGTATATTTGTAAACAACAGCTGGTGCACAAAATCAAATACTAAGGAAGTCTCAAGGTTTTGCTCGCCTGAGGTAGAGTATCTTATGATAAACTGTAGACCACACTATTTACCAAGAGAGTTTTCATCTATATTTTTCATAGCCGTCTATTTACCACCACAAACCAATGCTGGCATTAAGATTGCACTGAATGAGTTGTATAAGGCCATAAGTCAACAGGAAAACGCTCATCCAGAGGCAGCGCTCCTAGTGGCCGGGGACTTTAATGCAGGGAAACTTAAATCCATTCTACGTAATTTCTACCAGCATGTTAAATGTGCAACCAGAGGAAAAAAAAAACTCTAGACCACATTTACTCCACACACAGAGACGCATACAAAGCTCTCCCTCGCCCTCCATTTGGCAAATCTGACCACAACCTCCTGATTCCTGCTTATAAGCAAAAACTAAAGCAAGAAGCACCAGTGACTCGGTTAATAAAAAAGTGGTCAGATGACGCAGATGCTAAGCTACAGGACTGTTTTGCTAGCACAGACTGGAACATGTTCCGGGATTCTTCAGATAGCATTGAGGAGTACACCACATCAGTCACTGGCTTCATCAATAAGTGCATCGATGATGTCGTCCCCACAGTGACTGTACGTACATACCCCAACCAGAAGCCATGGATTACAGGAAACATCCGCACTGAGGGTAGAGCTGCCGCTTTCAAGGAGCGGGACTCTAACCCGGACGCTTATTAGAAATCCCGCTATGCCCTCCGACGAACCATCAAACAGGCAAAGTGTCAATACAGGACTAAGATTGAATCGTACTACACCGGCTCTGACGCTCGTCGGATGTGGCAGGGCTTGAAAACTATTACAGACTACAAAGGGAAGCACAGCCGCGAGCTTCCCAGTGACACAAGCCTACCAGACGAGCTAAACCACTTCTATGCTCGCTTCGAGGCAAGCAACACTGAAGCATGCATGAGAGCACCAGCTGTTCTCCGTAGACGATGTGAGTAAGACTTTTAAGCAGGTCAACATTCACAAGGCCGCAGGGCCAGACGGATTACCAGGACGTGTACTCCGAGCATGTGCTGACCAACTGGCAAGTGTCTTCACTGACATTTTCAACATGTCCCTGACTGAGTCTGTAATACCAACATGTTTCAAGCAGACCACCATAGTCCCCGTGCCCAAGGACACTAAGATAACCTGCCTAAATGACTACCGACCCGTAGCACTGACGTCTGTAGCCATGAAGTGCTTTGAAAGGCTGGTCATGGCTCACATCAACACCATTATCCCAGAAACCCTAGACCCACTCCAATTTGCATACCGCCCCAACAGATCCACAGATGATGCAATCTCTATTGCACTCCACACTGCCCTTTCCCACCTGGACAAGAGGAACACCTACGTGAGAATGCTATTCATTGACTACAGCTCAGCATTCAACACCATAGTGCCCTCAAAGCTCATCACTAAGCTAAGGATCCTGGGACTTAACACCTCCCTCTGCAACTGAATCCTGGACTTCCTGACGGGCCGCCCCCAGGTGGTAAGGGTAGGTAACAACACATCTGCCACACTGATCCTCAACACGGGGGCCCCTCAGGGGTACGTGCTCAGTCCCCTCCTGTATTCCCTGTTCACCCATGACTGCATGGCCAGGCACGACTCCAACACCATCATTAAGTTTGCCGACGACACAACAGTGGTAGGCCTGATCCCCGACAACGATGAGACAGCCTATAGGGAGGAGGTCAGAGACCTGGCCGTGTGGTGCCAGGATAACAACCTCTCCCTCAACGTGACCAAGACAAAGGAGATGATTTTGGACTACAGGGAAAAAAAGAGGACTGAGCACGCCCCCATTCTCATCGACGGGGCTGTAGTGGAACAGGTTGAGAGCTTCAAGTTCCTTGGTGTCCACATCACCAACGAACTATCATGGTCCAAACACACCAAGACAGTCGTGAAGAGGGCACGACAAAGCCTATTCCCCCTCAGGAGACTGAAAAGATTTGGCATGGGTCCTCAGATCCTCAAAATATTCTACAGCTGCACTATCGAGAGCATCCTGACTGGTTGCATCACCGCCTGGTATGGCAACTGCTTGGCCTCTGACCGCAAGGCACTACAGAGGGTAGTGCGTACGGCCCAGTACATCACTGGGGCCAAGCTTCCTGCCATCCAGGACCTCTATACCAGGCGGTGTCAAGAGGAAGGCCCTCAAAATTGTCAAAGACTCCAGCCACCCTAGTCATAGACTGTTCTCTCTGCTACCGCACGGCAAGCGGTACCGGAGTGCCAAGTCTAGATCCAAAAGACTTCTCAACAGCTTCTACCCCCAAGCCATAAGACTCCTGAACAGCTAATCATGGCTACCCGGACTATTTGCACTGCCCCCCCACCCCATCTTTTTACGCTGCTGCTACTCTGTTCATTATTTATGCATAGTCACTTTAACTCTACCCACATGTACATATTACTTTAACTACCTCAACTGCCCCCGCACATTGACTCTGCACCGGTACCCCCCTGTATATATAGCCTCCCTACTGTTATTTTATTTGACTTCTGCTCTTTTTTTTTCTCAACACTTTTTTGTTGTTGTTTTATTTTACTTTTTTATTAAAAATAAATGCACTGTTGGTTAAGGGCTGTAAGTAAGCATTTCACTGTACTGTCTGCACCTGTTGTTTTCGGCGCATGTGGCCAATAACATTTGATTTGATTTGATTTGAATTCTGACATCTTCATGCACCTTTACCGTAGCGAATTGATCAATCACAGCAAATTCCGGAACCTGATATGGTGTTTATTTGCCTGTGAATATGCTGAGATCAGAGATGTTTCAGTTCTCTCCATTAATACTTAGAGAAGAGACATGAAAAACTGATGACTTCAAGAGCACAACCGGTTGACCAATCAGAAGGAGAGGAGAGTGAAAACAGTGATGAAAGAGTACACAGACTTGTGGAACTGGGGGTCTGCAGGCACAGTGATGAACTCAGGGGCCTCTTCCATGGCGTCAAAGAACTCATTGTCATCGTCCTCATCGCTCCCTTCTCCTTTGGCTGTGTCAGAACCTGAGAGGAAAGGGGTAGATCACTAAGATATCAATACCCCCCCACCCATGATACATTCCAATCACCTTCATCAATAAATTGCATTTCTACCTTCCCTTTCCTGTCTTTTTCTAAAAGTTTCAGACAGATCTGGGTTAAAGGTTATTTAAAAAGGGCAGTGCAGTAAAAAATGTGACTTCATTATGAAAATGATTAACTATATTTATTTCCACTCACTAACCACATTAGCATCCACAGTTTTTATGCAAGTAAAGTTATACTGTATTATAAAAAAACCAAGACGGCTGTGATGGAAAGTTACGATTTTATAAATACCGGCAGATAATTTGTTTGTTCGACACTGTGGGATGTTTTGTGTCTGTAAAATTAATTATGCAACAAATGAGCACATATTTAAATAATAACCATCATATCGAAGTAAACCATGTAGTTTATTAAGCTACAGATTAAATACACTATATATACACAAAAGTATGTTGACACCCCTTCAAAATAGTGGATTAGGCTATTTCAGCCACACCCATTGCTGACAGGTGTATAAAATGGAGCACACAGCCATGCAATCTCCATAGACAAACATTAGCAGTAGAATGGCCTTACTGAAGAACTCAGGGACTTTCAATGTGGCACTGTCATAGGATGCCACCTTTCCAACAAGTCATTTCGTCAAATTTCTGCCCTGCTAGAGCTGCCCCGGTCAACTGTAAGTGCTGTTATTGTGAATTGGAAACATCTAGGAGCAACAACGGCTCAGCCGCGAAGTGGTAGGCCACACAAGCTCACAGAACGGCACCGCTGAGTGCTAAAGCGTGTAGAAATAGTCTATCCTCAGATGCAACACTCACTACCAAGTTCCAAACTGCCTCTGGAAGCAACATCAGCACAATAAATGTTCGTCTGGAGCTTCATGAAATTAGTTTCCATGGCCGAGCAGCCGCACACAAGGCCAAGCATCGGCTGGAGTGGTGTAAAGCTCGCCAACATTGGACTCTAGAGCAGTGGAACCGCGTTCTCGTGTAATGAATCACGCTTCACCGTCTGGCAGTCAGATGGACGAATCTGGGTTTGGCGGATGCCAGGAGAACGCTACCTGCCCCAATGCATAGTGCCAACTGAAAAGTTTGATGGAGGAGCAATAATGGTCTGGGGCTGTTTTTCATGGTTCGGGCTAAGCCCCTTAGTTCCAGTGAATGGAAATAACACTACAGTATACAATTACATTCTAGACGAATCTGTGCTTCCAAATTTGTGGCAACAGTTTGGGGAAGGCCCTTCCCTGTTTCAGCATGACAATGCCCCCATGCACAAAGCGAAGTCCAAACAGAAATGGTTTATCAAGATCGGTGTGGAAGAATTTGACTGGCCTGCACAGAGCCCTGAGCTCAACCCCATCGAACACCTTTGGGATGAACCGGAACGCGGGGCCTAATTGCTCAACGTTAGTGCCCGACCTCACTAATGCTCGTGGCTGATGAAGCAAGTCCCTGCAGCAATGTTCCAATATCTAGTGGAAAGCCTTCCCAGAAGAGTGTAGGCTGTTATAGCAGTAAAGGGGGGACCAACTCCATATTAATACCCATGATTTTGGAATGAGATGTTCGACGAGCAGGTGTCCACATACTTTTGGTCATGTAGTGTACGTTATCATGAACTTCACAGGGTGGTGAAAGTGCACAGTGATGAGCTTGATGCTCCTTTCCAATAGATATCCAGGGTCTTATTCTGGTGACACAATCCATGTTTTACTGCAGTTTGACAAATACAAATATTCTCTCTCTTATCCATAATAATCTCATCATATTAGCCTAACCACACTGTATCTGCGAGCTGTTGGCTAGAGCGCACGTGCCAAGACCAGAGTAGGCACATTTGCTATTTAACGCAGCAGTGTGTGGCAAACCTATCGGTAGAGTTGAAAATGCGATGGAAACAAATTGAACTTTAGATTTTTATTTGGTACATGAAAAGTTGAGCTAAAAAGTACATTGTGTGCTCTACCTCATCACACACTGATTTTTTTATCCGCAACCAGTCTGTTTGGTGGAAACACATCACTGGTGGGAAAATGCTTATTTTTTCTTTAAGCAGATTTTAGAATATTTGCATGAAAATCTGGTCGCCAATTGGATGGAAACCTAGCTTATGAGGTTGAAACACTGAAATTGTGAAATTATAATAATGCCCTTTTAGTGTGTTGGATTCTAGTTTGAAATATAATTATTCATGTTACCATACTATAACTTATTGATTACTTTACATGTATAATGAATGTATATCAACAGAGGGTGGATAAGAACTAGGTGTATGGCAAGTTACTGAGTGAGGAAGGGGGAGTGCAGAAAGTTTACATTCTGTTCAAACATGATATTGTTAAATCTCATGGCTCCTAAGGAGAGGAACAAAGGGCAACAGTCTGGTTTCAGTCACTGATAAGGTAAGACAGCCGTGGATTAGGGAGGAGCGAGGAATTCGGTCCGAGGTCAGGTCAGATGAAGTGAGGAGGAACAGTCAGTCTTGTCACACCAATTAAGTTCCTGACTAGCAAAATATATTTATTGGCTGTCTAGATGTGCAAGGAGTAGACTCTGCCTAGTAGGAGGGTATAAATATATGTGCTTGTGTAAACATGTCTGTCTTTGCAGCTGTTTGACCCAGTGGGTGAATAAACTTGGTTTGAGCTTTAACTGGTTGTCCGTTAGTTTTTCACTCTGTCAGAACCTAACAGTTGGCGTTGTCGGCAGGATTCAGCATGATTTACAGTCGAACTAGAGAGTCCAAATCAGTGAAACTGGAGCCGGCACCAAAAACAAAAGGTAGGCACAGTTCCTACACCTGTTACCACTCATTTTGACATCTTGGGGAGATGAGAGTCGTAGGCTGAACCTATTATAGGATACGGACCTAGAAAGACTGAGTTTATTAAGTAGGCCTACTGTATATACTACCGGTAGACCGAGGGGTTGGGGCCCCTAAGAGGGTTTATCCACCTGAAGGTTAGACTAGGCACTGCGCGCCTAGGAGGGTTTAGCCCCCTAATAGGTTAGACTGGAGCATTGCGGGCACAGTGTGTTCAAGAGGGTTTAGTCCCCTAATAGGTTAGGCTAGGCAATGTGGGCACTACGTGCTTAGGAGGTATCCCCCCAATAGGTTAGTTTAGGGGTTGGAGTCTGTTTAAGTTTCTGTAGTCTATATGGTATATGGAGACGTTGGCACATCCATGTACTAGTACGATAGGTTATAGAGAAGTAGTCCATGTAGAGGGACAAAGGCAGGAAGTGTGTTCGGTGGAGAATAGGAGATCTGAGGATATCTGTGCTTAAAGATGAAACAGTGGGAATGTGGATGGTGATAGAAGGTTGCCTACAAGTTCTGGAAGAGAGCCTCATCCATGGTTAGAAAAGCAAAGCGATATTCGAATGTTGTTTGAACATGATTTGAGTGTATTAGCAGTAGCAATAAGGAGAGAGGTGGGTTTATGCCCTATTGGGGAGGGGGACCGTGACAGATTATGTGGAAATAGGAAGACAACTGAATAATTTTGGTTGTGTGTGTTGTCAACAACAGTGATATTTGTAGCTTGTCACTGGTATAAGACATTAGGTCTACCGTATTCTCCAGAAATAAATGGGCAGACGCTTCAGTTTTGGTTCTAGTACAAGGTATCAGGTCCCGTGACCAAATTATTAGGCACCTATACCGTAACTACTCTCCGGGAAGTGGGTATCTACCTGAAAAATAGTTAAAATTGGCGTGTATTAGAGCTGTGGGTGAGGAAATCTAAACACCCTGGACACCGTCGGGAGAGGCGTCAGAATAATAACTATTAAAATGCCGACTGGCAGCACCGATTCTCCCTTTAAAAGGGGGGATAGAGGAAGGAAAGATTAATAAAGCCAACATGGACAGTTCCCTGCTGACGGAAAATTCAAATCAAATAAAGAACTCAGAGATGCTGTTGTGGTATGACAATGAAAAATGTGATGTCGGCGTTTTATCAACAGAAGAGTAAAACAGATAAAGCTCAAATTAAAGATATGCAGGGTCATCTTGTCCAGGCGACTGACAAGAATGAGGCAACTAATAAAACCATTTGAAATAGCAGAAGGGCAGGCTCCTAAATTGGTGAACAGAACCAGAACCGCGCGAGGGCTCTGGAAAAGAATGAAAATAAAGTCCAACAACTTACGGCTACCCTCCAGCAGTATCAGAACACCTGTGGGGGGTGTATGCTATCGTCACTTCCCCACCGTTCGCCCCGGAATATCATGCATCCCAGGCTAAACAGGTCATGCCTCCCCTATACCCCTCTCTTATAGAGGAAAAATAGCATTACAGGTTGAGAGAGGTAGAAGAGGGACGTATCACCAGTCCAGACATAGTTGTCCCAGACTGGATCTTAGATCCGAAGGACCCCGGAAACCATAGAGAGGTGCGCCCGGTTCGTACTCATGCAGTTGCGATTACTTATTATCCCGGGCAGATACTCCCAGAGGAAGGGAACCCCATACTGCTAGATGGCCAACCTATAACACGACTTCAAATTCAACACCAACACCAGCCGCTGAGTATTGGTGAAATGCGTAGCATAATGAAAGAAGTGCCTGACCCGGTTAAAGAGGGTCAGGAATTTATCAGTTTCCTATGGAAACAGGGACGAAATTTTGGATTCCACGCTGGTGATTATGATAACGTTATCCGTTCCCTATTGCCAAGAGCAATGTTGGCACAATTAGTCGGAAACTATTGTACTCCCGTCTGGTCGTCCGCTCGTGAGGCATGTGATCCATCAACCTCACAGGAACAAATTGAACTATTTGTGACAGCTTTTGGAAATACTTTGTTACGCCCTGACATTAACAAAATTAATAGATGCACTCAGGGTCAAAATGAGGGGGTACGTGAGTACGTTGATAGGATGGAAGATGCTTTGTGCACTAATCTGGCACTAGCATATCATTTTAATGAAATGCAGAAATGTGTAACTCCACTTTGATGGCAAG